CTTCAGTAAATTTTCACACTGTTGCGCCTCCACTGACCACACACAGCTGGAGCGGGATTACCCACAGCCCTGGGGAGAGCCCAGGTGAAGGTGTCATCACCCCGCCCGCCCCGCCCGGGGACCCTCCTGTAATGAGCACCAACAGGCTCCATCTTGAGGGCGTGTTATAGGAAGTCACAGCTCCTCTGATGAGGAAATGTGTGAAAGTCGTTCTGCAACAAGACTGATAGAACTGCCAACCAAAAGCGTTTTCCCCCGGTAATCTGCACAAGGCCAGGCTTTTTGCCGTCTGGGCCCCTGGTGCCCTCTCTGCTCCTTAGCACAGCTGAGTTCAGCATGTCTGCCTTTTGCTGTCTGGGTACCCGAGACCCTGTTCCTAGAACAACTGGATACATTTGAAGTTCTGCCTCAGTTTACCCTTTCATCTTCTGTTCTGCCTGGAAGCAGCCTTTCCACCTCCAATGGTGCGTCCCCCGGCTACGTCACAGTTGCCACCGCCAGGCCGTTCTTCACTGTTCTTCTGGGTTAGTAATTGCTGCTCCGTAGCAGGGCTGCTCTGATCTGTAATTAGGAGGGATAGCCTTTGCCCAAGGGGGCCTTTGAACTGGGGTCCTGTGGCATCCTGCCAACCTTCCCAAAGGAGTGGATAGTATCGCCTCCTTTGTAGAGAGAAGAAAGCTGAGAAGCTGAAGTGAAAGAATTTTCCAGACAGTTCATGCTCAGGTCTCTCTTGTTGGCTTACTAAGGATCCTTCTGCCCCACCTAGGTATTTCACCTGTAATGACATAGCCGCGAGGACCGGGGAACTGGACTCTAGGTGTGCAGTTTGCTAGCTCTCTGACCGTAGGGCCTATCTTCTCTGTGAAAATGGATGTGCTCACATGAACCCTACAGGGCTGAGTGTTGTTGAATGAAACTGGTGAGTGGCGTGTCAGGGTCTCAACGCTGTCAGGTAGTTCATTTTCTAACGAACTTCCTCTTAAAAAGTTTTTCTCATGTTGTCTCACTGTTACAAGAGCAAGGTCCTATCCATGCTACAGAGGAAAGCCTAAGCCGGAGCTGGTGCTTTCTGAGCCCCACCAGCAGGAAGCAGAGCTGGGCTGGAACCCAGTCTCAGGACTGTGCGTTATCCCCTCCTCCACGGTCCCCTGGGTACCTCTCCAGAACATGAGTCCTGAACGATGAAGAGCAGTCTCAGGCTGTTTTACCTACAGATTGTCTTAGCCGATGTGGAGGGAATAGGAGCCTCTGCAGTATGTCCTGTCTTTCAGTGACGTCACAGCGACACACCTGTTGTTCATGCCATCGGGCCAGTTTCTGCCTGTGAGACTCCTTGTTGTATGACGTTCTATTCTTTTGGCTTTTTTGACTATTTTGAGGGGCCCTTCACCCAGCTCCCAAATCGCACCCAGAGGTTTGTTCTTAGTTATGAATGCCCAGCCTTAGCTTGTCTTGTTCTGCCAGCTTTTCTTACATTATCCCGCTTCCTTTTCCCTCTTAACTTTCTTCTGTATATTTTTCTTTACCTCTTTCTCCGTGACTCGGTGACTGGCCCCTGATGTCCTCCTCCTCCCTCCTCCCTGAGTTCTCCTGTTTATCCTCTCTGTCTGCCAGCCCCACCTATTCTTGCTCCTGCCTCGTTCTTGGTCTCTTTATTAGACCATCAGGTGTTTCAGGCACAGTAACACAGCTTCACGGAGTCAAAGAAATAGTGTAAACAAAAGTCACACACCTGAGAATAATCCCCCAGCAACTCCCGGCTTCTGATGGTCTGCGGGCTCTCTTTAAAGAGGGCACGACCTCTCCTAGGAGTCTTGGAATGGTTTCCTTAGCTGGGCATGGTGATGCATGTCTGAGGTCCCAGCTCTTTGGGAGACTGAGGCAGGAGGATTGTTTGAGTTTAGCAGTTCCTGCCCAGCTTAAGCAACATAGCGATACCCTGTCTAAAAGAGACAGAGAGGGGAGGGCAAGAAAGGCACTCTAGTGTATCATACCAGGAAAAAAAGTTGTCCTCTTGTCGTAGGTCTCTGGGTCTGAGCAAGATATTTGATGTGAAAGACAAGGAAGGTGATTTCGCAGCAGAAGACAGCAAGGGCTTCCTGGCTGCGCAGGCGCCTTCCTCCGATTTCAGTCTTCCCTTCGGACATCGGCTGTCACAAAGAACTCAGGTTTCCATTCTGCAGATTGGGGGAGGCTTACAAGGGACACTCTGATATTTGTGGAAGGAGTTTTATTTTCTAATGAGGTGGAAGTGGTCTCCCTTTTCCTGCACTCTTCATATCTGATGATGGGCGAAGACGGTCACCGTTCTGCAAGGCTGCCCACGGTGCCAGCCTTGCTTTGGCTTGTGCTCCTGGCTGTGTCTGAGAAAATCAATTCTTAGACCTCGCTCGCCTGGCGCAGGTGCTGCAAAGGTGTAGCAATCAGAGGGGATGATCTGGGGTCAGCCTCTGATTCTGTCTGCGAGCTGCCTGGAAGCCCGGAATAACGTGTGCAGTGAGCAGAGGTAATGGAAAAGAAGGGAGGAGGCAGCGAGCAGGGCGTTCTGTAATGGAAGGCGCTTGCAGATGGTCAGCAGGAACGCACAAGGCCCTGGAAATCTCACCACGTACTCCAGTATAGGGGTCAAAGGCAGGTACTAGCTATTAATCACTGCCAAAGGACTGGATTTGGGGTGTCAAATGTGTAGATATGTGAGTGTCTTCCTGTTCACCCCATAGTTCACAGCCTTTTCCTGGATCCCAGACTTCTGCCACAGTGCCCCTGATGGGCCTCCTGCCCAATGTCTCCCCAGAATCCCAAAGTTGACGGATTGAGCAGCTCCCTGGGAGGCTAGAATGGACTGTGATCTAGTGGCTAGCCCTGCAGTGCGGATCTGTGCTGAGAGTGATACAATGGGGATGATGTAATGGCCTGGCTAGCAGGGTTAGAGAAGACCCGGATGTGGAGCCTGGTGGCAGCCTGTCATGGAATCTTCCTAAGCAATAGCAGTTGTTGATTTTTCCTGCAGAATTCATCCTTATTTAAAAACTTCTCTAGGCTATACATGACATACATGGCATGTATGTGACATGTATGTGTCTTTACACGACATACACCTGCAGTCACAGCTACTCAGGAGGCTGAGGCGCACTTGAGCCCAAGAGTTCAAGGGCAGCCAGGGCAGTACAGATGGATCCCATTAATGTTTTTCTTGACATAGAGCAGTGGTTTGACCATTGAGTTAATATTGTAAGAATGTTTTGGTATGTAATGAGACTAGAACAAGCCAAAAGTTTGTCATGATTGGGTGGGAGGAGTCCTGAGATGTCCTGAAAGGTCCCTGCCAGCCCGCCCTCTGCAGATGGCATTAAGGTACTTTGTTACCCGAGCATGTGGCTTTTCTTCTGTGTACCAGACAGTACAGGTTCCAGGTCTTCTCCAGAGACCATGACACCGTCCCTTGCGGCACAGGACAACTTTGGGGTGATCTGTGTGATAATAGGGAGCAGGTGAGAGAGAGGCCATGTGACCAGCGTTTGTGGGGAGCTATTTTCCATACACTTCCCATTTGCAGAGTGCCAACATAAATTTTGTTTTAATGAGCAGAAAGGTAGGATGCTGACAACGCCCAGCTGGGCAAGCAGGGGCACATTAATAGACAAGATGAATTGCTTAGGTTAGCCCTGCAGTGTGGAATGAGAGGCCCATGTTTCCTGGTGCCCAGCTAAGCAGGGACCTCCCTTTACCTCCCAGCAAGCTGGGAACGTGATTCCAGAAACATCACGCACGGGCTTGAGCCCTGGCTTCTGCACATGCATGGGTCAGAAGCTGCAAACCCAGACAGCCACCCACACAGAAGCCAAGGAGTGGGACAGCATAGGGAAGTTTCCCCTGAGTCCTACGCTGTCTCTCATCCCACTCCCCCCTCCTCCTGCCTCATTCCCCCATTGGCAGGTGGGGGCCTGCCCCACATCCAGTGTAGGCATAAGGGAAAATACACATTGAGAGAAAGGAAAGTCCCATGTCTGCCTTGCTGGCAGACCCAGGATCTGGAATCATATGAGCCCTTCCCAGTGGGCCAATGGCCTCCCCAGCCAACTTTCTCCCTTGATGTACTTGGGACTCTCCTGATGCTTTTGTACTGGCAACACTAAGTGTGCAGGGTGTTTGTCAACGTGACACTGTCATCTGGGAAGAGGGATCCTCGACTGAGAAAGTGTCTCCATCAGACTGGCCCATGGGCAAGTACCTGGGAGCGTTTTCTTGACTAATGATTGATGTAGGAGGACCCAGCCCACTGTGGGTGGTGCTGTCCCTACGCAGGTGGTCCTTCCTGTATTTTATAAAGAAAGCTGAGCAAGGCAGGAAGCTTCCTGGTCTCTGCGTCAGTTCCTGCCTCCAGATTCCTGCTGGTTTCCCCCGGTGATGGGAGCAGCATAAACCCTTTCCTCTCCAAGATGCTCTTGGTCGTGGTGTTTGATCACAGCAGGAGAAAGCAAATGAGGACATGCACTGTTCTCCGCACATAATCTCAGTAACCGGAGAGAGGTGTCCTGACTTGCTAGAGGGTTCAGAAAATGAGGGTGCTTAGTTCCAGTCTTTGCCTTGCTTGCTTCTGGGAAACCAGAAGAGGGAGCTGCTTTAAATGAGATTACATGGCCTGTTGGGGCCTTGCATGGCCGAGATAGGGGACTCTTGGGACAGAAAATCTCTCCCGAAGCTGTGGAGACCTTGGCCAGATTTGGGGCAGGAGTGATGTCTGGAAATATGTCAGATGGCCGCTTAAGGTTAGAGTGTTTTGGGAAAAACCTTTACGGTTTGAGGGAACTTGGCTTCTCCAGGCTGTGGTCTTCATGCCGAGGCCTCCAGGGTCCTGTTTCTGGGTACATCTGTAGAGGCGTGCTGGGGCCGAGGCTAGGATCCTGATCCTGGGTATGTCTGCAGAGGTGTGCTGTGGCCCCTCACAGAACCCAGTGCTGATGTCTGCTTTTTTTTCCTGGCCCTTTAGCTTTCTCAACATGCCTCCGTTTCTGTGTCTGCCAGCTGTCTGCATTCTCCTCTTCTACACAGGTAAGCTGTCTTTTTGGTGGGTTGGTTTTGAGTTTTGTTTCTAATCCCACTGACTGATTTTATTTTTGAAAAAGATATTTGTGTACATGGAGAGGACGAGGGGTCTGCTTGCCTGTGTGTGCGGATGCCAAAGCCAGAGGCTGATGCCTGGTATCTCCTGTCACTGTCCACTTTAGTTTTTGAGGTCAGGTCTTCTGCTGAGCCCACAGCTCACCCTTCCAGCGGGGCGAGCTACCCAGTGAGCCCCTGGGTTGTCCTGTGTCCACCACCAGTGCTGGAGTTATACACACACCGCCCCACCCAGCTTGTATGTGGGGGCTGGGGATCCAAACTCAGTGCTCATGCTGGCACAGCAAGCCCCTCACCGATGAGTCATCTCCCAGCCCTGACTTTAGCTTTTACAGTTTCCTGAATCTACATTGCCACCACATGGCAACCTCCCTGGCCTAGACCCCATCATCTTCTGCTTGATCTTCTCCAGTTGCCTCCCTCTGGGCCCACCTGGCCCCTCCACACCATTCTCCACACAGCAGCCTTTCCAGTGTACAAATCCGATCACATCTGCCCCTACCTAGAGCTTCTGTGAGTCCTCTGTGGCCAGTCTCCTCCTGCTACATAGCATCTTTATTATCTCCTCTTTGCAGAGGTTCTGGATTCCTGGCGGCCACTCTGCCCAGATCACATCTCCACCCATCCTGCCACTGTCGCCCGAGTAAACACCTATCCATCCCCAGCACAGCTCCTCTGGGCTCCCAGATTATGTCTGTTCCCTGTTCAGCCGCCTAGGGCTCGTGCGCTGTAGCACCCAACACAGCTTAATTCTGTGATTCTGACAGCTGATGGCTTCCACGGTGGCGAAGGACTCTGTAGACTCTCTCGTCATCACTGTGTTGTCTCTGTGTCTCAGAGTCCCCTTCCTTAGCCTCCTGCCCTGCCCCTGAGCTCCAGGCCTCTCTGAAAGATGAGCTGAGATAGTGGGGAGGACACTGTGTGTCCATAGACGATCACCCCGGAAATAGGAACAAGCACACTGATGGCTCAGTTGTGCAAGCCCAGCCTGGGGTGCTCTTCTGCAAAACTGAGAGGTTGGGCTGAAGCTCTGAAGACATATTATAGAGCAGACATTTGGTGTCTGCGGAGTCAACCTCGGTCCCCTCCTGCTTATTCCCTGAGAACAGGAAGGCTACAGATAGAAGCCACTCAGCCCACTCCATCCCATCTCCAAGCCGGGGAGGTATACCGTCTCACTTGCTGTCTTCATGGTCTAGGGGCTAGTGTATACTGAGCCATCTTGGGGAGCAAGTCCCTGGTCTTGGTCAGCTTCCCCAGCCTGAGTTCTGCTCAGTCTTGAGACGGTTTGGTTTCCCTTCTGAAACCCTGTCCCGCCTGTTTGCACGCTGCATCTGTCTAGCACTGTGTACAAATGAGGCCCTGGGATCCAAGGTGACATAAATATTGGTGGAACTGATACCCTGGTCTCCTGACTCCTGAGCTGGGTCACTGTGGGTCCTCTCAGGAGAGAGGACTGTGGAGGAGCTCTCTGTCAAGCCTGGACTCTGTGAGTGAATGAGTGAGTAGTTACATCCATGACTGTCCGTGTTGTCCGTGTATTAGCATCATCCACCTGCTGTGAGAGTAAGTTCTGGAACCTTGGCAGGCGATCAGAAGAGACTGCGGATGCGGTTAGGAGCAGCTAAAGAAAGTTGTCCTGGTCCTATTCTGTAGCATCACAAAGCGGCTTGCAGAAAGCACCGAGAGTGTCCCTCATACTGAAGGCAGGCTCACCTGAATCCTGGTGCTTGCTCTGACTCTTCAGCTTGTGGTGCCTGTCCCAGACCCAGGACCCCATATCTTGGGATGATGGAGCTCAGTGCTGGGTCAGTAGAGTGGTGGGAGGCAGGACTGTCTGCTGAAACAGAGACTAGAGCAGTGTTCACATGAGCCTAGTGCTGGGAGAGGAGGCAGGAAGGTGGAGAGGCCCAGCCTGGCAGGCTGACCAGGAACACCCATGTTGGTGTCCTTTCCAAGTGCAGCATGCTCTTGGAGTGTCTGTCTGTGATCAGTTTCCTGGCAGTCGCAAACCCTGTGCTCCAGGCTGCTGTACCCCACTGGCTCCCCCATGCTTGACCCCAGCAGCTCCTCACTGTCAAGGTGCTTCTTTTGCCTTTCAAGTTTGCAGGCTGCAAGGCTCCGCCTCCCTGGCGTGTCCCCTCTGCCTGTGTGTGTGTGTGTGTGTGTGTGTGTGTGTGTGTGTGTGTGTGGCAACTGATTGTGTTAGGTCTCTCCAGCAGTTCCGTTCCCTGAGTACTTCTGCAACTAGATACCCATGCTTTAAAGCTGCAGAGGGGAGCTGGCCTTTCGGAAAAGCTCCCTGGGTGTCCTCCCTCATTGCTTTCAGGTCAGGTCATCCTGGAACAGCCCTGAGCCCCTTTGGTGTGTTATCCCCACCTTCAATGTTCTTTTCTTATTTTTCTTTAAATTTTGGTGCTAGAAATTGTCCTCACAGCCCTGTGGCTGGCACACAAGCCTTCCACCACTTAGCTACCCCTCAGTCCCAGAGTTTTTATAGATTATCCGTGGCTGCTCATGACCTGTTATTTAACAGGTATGAAAAGGCACAAAAAACTTAGCAGTGAACATGCTACCCCCAAACATTTTGGGTTTTGATCATATTAACTATATGGTAAATAGATCAATATTTTTTCACATATTTCTATGTTTGTAATCTGTCTTTGGCCCTTCCCTAGCACAAAGAAAGTGAAGCAGAGGGTCTTGCCCCATGCTTCCCCCCGCCCACACTACAACTGCTCCCCACCCCATTTCTTTTCAGTTCTAATACTACAGGGTCAAGGAGAGAACCGCTTCTGTGATTCCTCGTTCACCTGGCCCACTTGTTCTCCTGAAAGCTTTTCATCAACTTACAGCATTGCTGTTGTGGGGAAAACTCCCAGTTGAATCCTTTCTCAAATATATTTAAAATTTAAATTTAGCCGTGCAAGTTTGCACACATGCACACTCAGGTCCCCTTTGGAACATCGCCTGGTGCCTTTCTTGTCTCTTCTACGAATTTTAAGTTTTGTGACAGCGGTCTCCCCCCCACACACACACACAACAGATGGAGAACTTTGCAAGAGCATACCTGGGTACACAGCAGAGAGCTGTACCCAGAGGGGGCACAGTTATGGCCAAGGACTGAAATCCTCAGGATCATAGTCTGTCCATAGCCATCTGCTTTTGAAAACTTCCCCCTACAAGCTACTCAAAGAACAAAGTTTCTTCACAGAGGTGGAGAGGTTTCAACTGTTATCTGTTGGGAATATTATTTTAAGGTGTGTTACTTTTGTTTATGCTCTGTAAAATTTGTTTAACGATGCAAAGATGTGTTCGATTAAGTAAATTCACCTGTGGTCCAGAGGCTGAGTCAGCAACTAGCTGCCAGGAAGTTGTAGGGAGGAGCCAGGAGAAGAAGGATTTATAAAGAGGAGCCAGAAACCGCGTGAGGAAGTCTTGGGAAATGCGAGGAGGTGAGCAGCAGCCTTTGAATCTTGAGTTCTTTAGCAGGACAGAGATAACTTCTCTGAGTAGCTGTAGAAGGTTGGGTGCCCGAGGGAACAGAATTTCCACAGGCTGTGGCTCTTGCGGCCTGGGTAGGAGCTGAATACTAAACCCAGGCTGTCACATATGGTCGGTCACATGTGCCACCGCTCAGCCACCCCCCAACCCTGCAAGCCACACACAGCCACGGCTCTCTGGTGCTTTTTGAGAGAGGGGTGTTGGACTTCTCCACATCTACCTTCTGCTCTGTTTCCTGTTCATGTAGGTCACGTAATGTAGCGATAAAGACGCCTCCCATCTTACCGTGTGTGCCATGACTGCTTCTGGTTTTTTCTCTCCAGTGTCCCCGTCCATCTCTCTCCAAGAATTCTCTGTGAGCAAGGAGACCATCGGGAAGATTGCAGTGGCCAGCAAATGTAAGTGCGTTTACCTGCTCCTCCAAAGTCGTGGCTAGTCAGACCTCTGTGCGGTGGATCCAGGGAAGCCACACTCCTCCCAAGAGCTTCCCCTGTAGTCCTGGCCCCTCTACTGGGGCGGCCGGTCATTTTCCCCACTCTGTCCTTTTATCATTCCTCCCGAGTGACTTTCCATGGTTAAAATAGTAACGATCGCAAGCAGTAACGGCAAAACAACCTCTTTGTTTCTGAATTTTAAGTTAAATTTTCATGCGTTTATTGTGCATGTATGCACACTTACATGCATACATGCACAGGAGTGATGTTCAGGTGGCAGTCAGAGGACGTGTGGAGGAACTGGTCCTTCTACCATGTGGGTGCTGGGGACCAACCTTAGTCGGAAGCCTGGCCGTCGCACCAGCCATCTTCGTTGCTGAGTTTCAGGGTTTTTCTGTCACCTGACTGCTGTCTACCAAGCCACCCATATTTCCCGCCATATGACCAGGACTTTCCCGGAAGCCCTGCCTGGTTTCTCCTCCTCTGCCCTCCTAGTTGCGGGGAACTGGGATCTCATTCTCTGCTCCGCTGCTTCCTGGTACTCGGTTACGGGGAAGTGACTGGCCCACTCTTCCTGCTTCCCTCATCCATCCTGTGGGAGCGGAAACACAGATCTCAGGCAGAGGGGTGGCTCAGTGAGGAAAGTGCTCACTTGGATCCTCAGTGCTCGTACAAAAAACTGGGTGTGGCGGGGTGAAACCCTAGCACGAGGCCGAGATGACAGGAGAACACTCCAGGCTCACCGTCAACCCAGGAACTCCAATTGAATCCTTTTTTAAATATACTTAAAATTTAAATTTAGCCATGTAAGTTTGCACACATGCGCGTTCAGGTCCCCTTTGGAACGTCTGCCCTGGTGCCTTTCTTGTCTCTTCTACGAATTTTAAGTTTCAGTGAGAGACAGAATGTAACAGAGGAGCACACGGGTCATCAGCTCTGTACTGCACAGACATGCGCAGGTGTGCACACCTACAGACACCCACATGTACACACACACACACCACACACAAGAACAGACTGTGTAGGAGTTGAGAGTTAGATGGCAACTGAAAGTTCTCCCTGAGGTGGTAGAGAATGTTCCTCTACCAGTGTGGTGATGGTGGGATTCACCAGGGCATTTGCTAAAAATGGTAATTATGTACCTTAAATGGTACAATGGTGTGGTGTAGGAAATCTCTAGAACACATTCAAAGAAAGTCGGGGAGCTAGGAGGACTGACTAAGTGGGCATGTCCGTTATAGCTTGTGCTGGATAATCAGTGCCAACTCGACACAAGCTATAGTCACCTGGGTGGAGGACGAGGGTCAGATGAGAAAATGCCTTCATAAGATTGGGCTGTAGAGGCTACAAGCCTGTTGGGCATTTTCTTAATTAATGATTTGAGAGGGTCTAGTCCATTGTGGGTGGTTCCACCCTTGGAGTGGTGGTCCTGGGTTGTATAAGAAAGCAGGCTGAGCAAGCCATGACGAGCAAGCCAGTAAACACTCCTCCATGGCCTCTGCATCAGCTCCCGTCTCCAGCTTCCCGCTCTGTTTGAGTTCCTGCCGTGACTGCTTTCCATGATAAACTGTGATATGGAACTCTAAGTCAAATAAAGCCTTCCCTCCCCGTGTTGCTTTTGGTTGTGGTTTTTATTACAACAGTAAAAACCCCAACTAAGGCACACCTCAATCAGTTCTGAAGCAGAAGAAAGACATGGTCACTGCTAGTGCTTGAACTCTTGGGTCCGTCAACCTCACATGTCAGACTGCCCAGCTAAGACCATGATCCCCAAGGCTGGGACCGTGATCAACCCGGAAGACTCTTCACAGCACTCATTGTAACATGGCTGCAGACATGCTCACAAGTGGGCTCTTACATCAGCGTCTTCACAACACGGAAGCTTCTAGTCTAATGTCCCCATCTGCTCCTGTCCCCAGTGATGTGGTGCTCGGCAGCGGTCGACATCCTGTTCCTGTTAGATGGCTCTCACAGTGTCGGGAAAGGGAGCTTCGAGAGATCCAAGCACTTTGCCATGACCGTCTGTGACGCTCTGGACATCAGCCCCGGGAGGGTGAGTACACGGGTCTTGTTTGGTGTCTGTGGTTTCAAGCGACAGAGACTCAGCTTCAGGCAAAAGAATGAATCGATTGTGGGATGCAGAGGACTAAAGGGCAAATCAAAACGTGGTGGGGTGATGCTGGGATCTCGGGGATCAGCCAAGGCAGGTAAGCGACCCCTCTTCTTCCTCAGTTTTGCTTGCGTTGGCTGGTTAGCTTCTCTCCAGCCCACAGTGAGGTGGTTCTGCATCATCCTTCCAGCTGGTCCCCCCTCAGGTGGGGGCAGAGGTGCACCTCTTTCTTCTTAGATCAGGCAGAGCTCATAGGAGGGCACCAAATGATGTAAGCCTCACGATAATCCCCCGCCTAGTCACAGCACTGGAGAAGAGGGCCTCATGCAGGTTTGGGGCTGGAGAGGGAAGAACACGGACCTAACTTCCAACTATGGAGAGACTGAGTTCAAAGGGCTTAAGTCTGTGGATGCTCTCTGGGTGGTCTGTTGTTGAGGTGGATTTAGGGCAATGGAAGTCTTTTCAACAATTAACATTTCAACCTTGGCCTCTCAGGAAAACAGAATACTCACTGAACAGGTTAGAACCTTAGTGTGAAGCCCAGCTCTGTCCTCTCTGGTCACTTGAGCAAGCCCAGAGAGTGCCTTCATGTCTTATCCTTCCTGGCTTCAAGTGTCACAAATAGCAGGGCAGAGTAAGTGTGGCTCTTGAGGAACAGCTTTGAACAACCCAACAGCACAATGAATAATAAACTCATTATGAGGTCCGTAAATGGCCCTCAGCTGTGTGTGGGGTCGCCAGCTCCCCTGACTCAGCAGCAGGTCTCCACACTAGCTATTTTCACTTCCCAGCTGAACGGAAGCACTGGACGCTTGGTGGCATGCTCCCCGGGCAAGCCTTCCAGAGATGAAGCCTAGGAGTGCCAACTGCTCACTGCCAGGGACAGTGGCAGAGGCTTGTGCCCTCCATTCTCAGTCTGCTCCTAAGTACTCCCACCCAGGCAGTTACTGACCAGTGTCACCTGTCACCATAAAAGAATTCAGGCAATCTGAACACGCATTGGTAGGGGACCGGTAAGAACCAACTAAAACCCACCAAAAATGAAATAAAAGGAAGGGTGAATTAGTTTGGAGAACCATAATTATTTGAATTAGAGACTAGTCATGGGGTGGGAAAGGAAGTGCTCTCCAAGGCGACATTCCTGACTTAATCCTGTAAAAACTGGAGGATCTAAGAACAAACAAGGCTTGTAATGAGGGCCAGGTTGTCTGCTGCAGGGGCATCATTTGCAGGTGCGAGCACACTGCCCTGGAGTGCAGGCAGTTGGGCCCATCTCTGACACTAGAGATGCATTCTTTCAGTGTAGACCGGCGTGGTCCAAAGGTTCTGAATGTGGTATCAGTGTGGTATCGGCCTGCTGGGTCTCCACCTTCCTCTAGACAAGGCCCTACTTTGAAGATGGTCCTCCAACCATGAGTTCCTCCTGGAGGAAGTGGCATAAGGATCAATATATTTACTATGTGTAGGTATGTGTACATAAATATGGGACCAGAAGACAGCTTTGTTTACTGTATATAGGCATATGTACACACATGTGAGATCAGAGGACAGCTTTAAGTTTACTGTATGTAGGTGTGTGTACACACATGTAGGATCAGAGGACAGCTTTATGTTTACTGTATGTAGGCATGTGTACACATGTGAGATCAGAGGGCAGCTTTGTTTACTGTATGTGTGTACACACGTGTCAGATCAGAGGACAGCTTTGTTTACTGTATGTAGGCGTGTGTACACACATGTAGAATCAGAGGACAGCTTTATGTTTACTGTATGTAGGTGTATGTACACACATGTGAGATCAGAGGACAGCTTTATGTTTACTGTACGTGCACACACGTGTCAGATCAGAGGACAGCTTTGTTTACTGTATGTAGGCATGTGTACACACATGTGAGGGTCAGAAGACAGCTTTTGGGAGCCAGTTTTCTCCTTCATTGGTTCCTGGGGATCAAGCTCAGGTCATTAGGCTCCCAGCAAACACCTCTACCCACTGAGCCAGCTTACAAGTACTAATGTACACTTCTGTAGAGCCGGCTGGCCTCGAACACAGAGATCTGCCTGCCTTTGCCTCCCGAGTGCTGGGATTAAAGGTGTGCACCACCACCGCTCGCTTGATAGATACATTCTTTACCCCATATTCTGCAGAAGAGGAAACGGGCTCAGGGACGTTAAACGAGGGCTGAGGGTCACAGAGCAATCTCAGACGGGGTGAAGTGTGGAGGAGCTGAGGTGCTTGACTCAGCCCAGGACCAGTCCAGCTTGTCCATCTGTCTCCCCCAGTGGGCAGCCTCTGGGCTAGGATGGTGTAATGACGCAGATGTCATACCCTGCTATCCACAGCCAGTTGAAGCCAGCACTACGGCAGTCTGTGGTAGTGGGGGGGGGGGGGTGGGGAATGGTGTGGAACACGGTAAGAAAAACAAGCCTCAGGAGAGGATTTCTACTGCACGAGGGACGACTTGGGTATCTCTGTGTACGTTGATTATTTTTGTGTCCTTGTGACCGAAAGGGAGGAAAAGATTTATTCTGCTCATGGATTCAGGAAGATTTTAGCCCATTGAGGTGGGGAAAGCTGGGCAGTGAGGGCATGAGGCTCTGTGGCTGTTTACTGACCAAGGAGGAGAGAAAGCAAGCAGAAACCAGGGCTGGGTGGACGGCTCGGAGACCTGCCAGTGTGACCCACCACTAGCCAGAACCCCCTTCTAAAGGCTCAAGTCTTCAAACTAGCACTACAAGCCGAGGTCTGAGTGCTCAAAATGGGAACTTGACATGTAGAACTTCAGGTCCAAACCATAATGTAGAAATGTGGGGTGCAATTCTAGGCAGGGCCTGCAACAGAGCCAGGGAAGTGCGAGGGACCTGGGGGTGTCCATATGCGAGGGACCCATTCGTGCGAGAGAGTGCAGAATGGCTCCATCTCAAGAGATCATGGATGCTCGGGGAGAGGAACTTGGGTTTCACCTAAGAAAGACTTCCTCAGCAAGACTGAGAAGCAGGGGCCGGGGAAGGACGTAGCTGGGGTGACAGTACAGGCAGAAGCTCGCTCCACAGGCGTGAGGACCACGTAAAAAGCCATGCGTACTACACACTTGTCACCCCAGTAGAGAGAGAGGCTACTCTAGCCTGATTAGTCCCCCGGTCCCAGGGAGAGACCCCGTTTCAGAACACAGAGAAACAACCGCAAGGTCGGCCTCGGGCCTGGTCATGCTCTCACGGATGCACACACGTGCACACACAAGCCTTGAGGAAGGAGAAAATGGCATCTGCTTGGGTGAGCCAGCGTCCTGACTGACACAGGCCACAGGCACTCTTGCCTGGCTCCAGGTTTTCTGTCCTTGCTCTTTGCTGTATTTGATTTGCCACTTATTTTGGTTCCTTTAGTTTTAGGAATTGCTTCCCAGTAGCTTTGGTTGACACTGTTTATGGGTGGCGGGTTGTTTAGGTAGAGCTGAAGTGTTTGAAGTCCTCTTTTAACAGGAGCTCAGACACTTGCTTCCTGCTCTAATGGCCCTGTGACTGGGGCCGGGAGAGAGACCTGGGCGGTTTGCTTCTGTGTACAGTAAATTGAAGATAAAAGGCAGCCATTGTGCTCCCAAACCACCAATTAAATGAAATGCCTTAACTTCTGACTGGGGCTGCTTCCTGTGCGCTGCTTTGATTTAAGCTGCATCCTTCCTGCTTAACCCCAGCAAGTGAACCCAGTTGTTGGTCTCTAGAGAATTCCTCCCACCCTTTGACCAAATAACTCCTTTACATGGTTCAATAAAAGTGGACAGCAAAAGAAAGGGAAGAGAAAGAAAGGAAAGAAAAACTGCACCCACACACCCCCATTCACCAGACCTCCCCACCAGCTCTGATCACCGACCCCCGACTTCTGAGCAGCCTTGCAAATGCACTTTGTGCAGGCACAGGCAACCTGAAGATGTGATTTCATTTTCTCCTTTTCTATAAAGTTAGCATCGTCTACGCATTACTTGCTGTCTCGTGTCTTTTAGATCATTATCTTGCAATCTCATCATCTCTCTATGTGTGTATATATAGATAATACAGATAATTAGCCCACCATGAGGGTTTACCAGGACTAATTAGCCTGCCCCTATTGATGGACTGTTGCTATTATAAATCCACTGTGATCTTGTAAAGAAAGGCTCGTTCCGCTTGTGTGGAAGAATAGCTCTCGGATCGTCTCCAGCAGCCATGTGCGTCTTTAGCTGTTAGTACACACTGGCGCATCGCCCTCCGCAGGTACACACTGGCCCATTGCCCTCCGCAGGTACACACTGGCCCATTGCCCTCCGCAGGTACACACTGGCCCATTGTCCTCCGCAGGTACACACTGGCCCATTGTCCTCCGCAGGTACACACTGGCCCATTGCCCTCTGTAGGTACACACTGGCGCATTCCCCTCCGCAGGTACACACTGACACATTGCCCTCTGTAGGTACACACTGGCGCATTGCCCTCCGCAGGTCAGATGCCCAGTTACACTCCTACACACCATGGCAGAGACCATTCCCTTGGCAGATGCCACATCTGGTTTTTGTTGTCATCGTCGTTGGTTTTGCTAAGCTGAGGGGAAAATGGTATTGTTTTCCTAAGGCCAAAAGTCCTGCCCCTAAAGAACCATGTGTTTTTCCTTCTTTGATCTTCGTTCATGTCTTTGGCTAGTTTTCTGCTAGACTGATGTTCTTTTACACATGGAGGAAACCAACCCTTGCCTCCATGAGCCCTAAATTCCCTTTGTTTCCTCCTTACCTTTGACCGTGTGAACGTGTGTTTTACCATGACGCTCTTTCCAAGCACTCAGATCCAGCAGACTTTATGTGTAAGAGTCAAGACTGGATTTTAGTTCCTCGCAAACCAGGGACTCTCCCAGGAGTTCTGGAGTGTCCCTGGGTAAGATCCTCAGCCCTGAAGCTTGAGTTCATGACCGTGTGCCTTTCCACTTGTCACAGGGTCATGTGCTGAGCAGACAGACTTCCCAGGCTTCCGATGGTGTTTTTGACTTCTTGCTGTATTCCAGGGAATGGCAGCAGGCGGCCTTTTGCTAGACGCTCAAGTTGCCCTGCTTCTCTGACTTGCAGTGCTCAGCTCACTCCCCGTGTGCCCACCCCAGACTTAATGTCTTTCTGCTTCAGGCTACCAACAGCTCCCTGTCTGTGGGAGGCCCGCTAGGCCAACCAAGGCCATTAACTCATTGTCTCCCTAGCTCGGCCTGCTAAGGGATAGTTCAGAGACTAGTTACTGAGAAGGTGGCCCTTCTGTGGTTTGGTGAGCCCAGGATTAGGAGCTGGTTGGTCCCATGTTCATCCCTCCAGATGGTCAGCACCCCGGCTCCAGTCCTGTGAGGCACCTGTCAGGTTCTCTCCTGTGGCCTCCCCAGTCAAGAAGCAGATTCTGTTCTCCAGCTCAGTCACTCCCTCACTGCAGGGAACCTCCAGCTCTACTATTGCACATCCCCGTTTTAGGAGCCGATTGTCCCCCTCTGACTCTCTGGTCTAGAGGCTTGGCAGGTGCAGGTCATCAAAGGTTTGGTGACTGTGGTTAGGTTCGGCAGTGGCCCTATGGAAGATTTGGCAGGATTTGAAAGCATTTTCCTGAGGAGGCAAGTGGTGTGATGGAGCCTTAGAAAAGTCATGATACCGGGGATTAATGGCCCGGGCTTCCTTTCCCTGCTAGTCCAAGTAAGCCTTGCTTGCAAAGCATCATCTGCATATTTTACTATTGCCTTTGGTCATGTGGGCATTGACTGGGCCCGGTGGATGAAATGAAATAATGCATGCACTTGCATACAGCAGCACCCACGCCAGGAAGATGCAAGCAGAGCCTTGCCTGAAGCTGCTGGCAGCTCAGCCGGGATAGCTGCCAGGTGGGGAGCTGCCTTTAGGGGCGCGGATGCTGAGATGATTAGCTGTCACGGCAGAGCACAGGCGGATCTGACCGTGTCCTTCCAGGTTCTCCAGCTGGCCCGTGTCTCAGGGGAGGCTGTCCAGAGCTCCGCACAGGAGACACAGGATTTGACCGAAATCTCTGGGCCCTCTGGCCCTGTCTCCTCCTACAGGTCAGGGTGGGAGCCTTGCAGTTTGGTTCCACTCCTCATCTGGAATTCCCCTTGGACTCCTTTTCTACCCGACAGGAAGTGAAGGCAAACATCAAGGGAATAACTTTCAAGTAAGTATAATGGACTAGTGCCATGATGGCTCTAAAGCTAGCTGCCTGCTTCTCTCTCTGTCTCTGTCTCTCTCTCTCTCTCTCTGTTCCCCCTCCCTCTTTTTGAGACAGGGTCTCACTGTGTAGTCTAGGCTAGCCCAGAGCTCTCCCTGAACTCACAGAGACCTGCCTGCCTCTGCCTCCCTGAGGGACATGTGTCCCCACACCTGGTGAAGCTGCCCTTGAAGCTGCTGCCTTGAAGGGTCTGGTACTGCTCTCCTGCCGGCCCAGCTGTGCATTCTGGATCATTCTCAAGGCGGCCCCCCATTAATACAAGATGACACCCAGGTGGGAATTTAGAACACTAGTTAAAAATTTTTTCTATTATATGTAGTTGAGAATTACTAGAAGAGAGGGTTAATGAAGGTCCTCTCAGGTGAACCTGGGAGGTTATGGGAAGAACACGAGGTGCCAGCCTCAGTTATCCCTGGAGACCTCTCAGCTGGGAAGGTTACCCACACTTCTCCAAGCCTCACTTTTTACAAAGTCCTGAAGAGAAAGTTCCCTTCTGTTATTCAGGATGCTTTAAGATTGTGGAGAACCGTTCATGTGCTCATCTGCATGCAGTGTATGAATGTACGCATTGCTCATCTGCATGCACAGTGCATGAATGTACGCATTGCTCATCTTCATACACTGTACATGAATGTATGCATTGCTCATCTGCATACACTGTACATGAATGTATGCATTGCTCATCTGCATGCACAGTACATGAATGTATGCATGTGCTCATTTGCTTACACAGTGCATGAATGTACGCATTGCTCATCTGCATGCACAGAACATGAATGCATGCATGTGCTCATCTGCATGTACAGTGCATGAATGTACGCATTGCTCATCTGCATACACTGTACATGAATGTATGCATTGCTCATCTGCATACAC